CGCAGAATCGGGTAAAAAATTCTAGAATATTGTACTGTAATAACCCGCAGCGCTGAGCAAAAGGTAATTTATAACGAGCGAATGGATTTTCAATTAGTTTATTACAGTTTAAGAGGTAGATAGATGGTTTAATCATACTACGAATGTTATGTACATGGAAGAGTAGGGTCGAAATTAGCGTGGTACTACGTTCATATCTGTGTAAAATTCAGAAGTAATTAACCTTTTACAAACTACCTGGTGGAAAATGTTATACAAAATGCTTTCGATCTATAAAAATGTATAGTGACCACGTTGTTTCGTGTACAAAAAATAATTCATTACTTCCAATCAAGACATTATATTGCGTTGTGTGTAAATAACGCGTATACAATAACGTTAAGAAATTTTATTTGTTTTTGCTTTTGCAAATGATTTTGTATATTAATTTTTAAACACATCGTATAATTAAAAATAGTAAGTATTATATATTTTGTTCAGTGGCGTAATTAGAGCTTTGATAAACCGTGACAAAATAGGAGTAATCCAGCGGGCTTGGTTTTACAAAGACTCATCTTGCTAATAGGTAATAAATAATTAAAACATATCACTATCATTACATACTCGTAGTATAAAACAAAGTCTCTTCCCTTTGATTTTTTTCGATTATACTTAACCGAGTTCCTATTCACTGCGAAGGAACATATTGAAATTTCATTAGTTTTTTTTAAAGGCACATCAACGTTTTTTTTCCTTCATTTATTCTTAAATATAGGTGATATAAATAATTATTAAAATTAAAGAATTATTTTTCATAGCTTCTCATAAGAAATTTAGTTATTTAATTGACTGAGCTATTGACTATTATTGTAATTATTATTATTTTTATTATTATTATATTTTTGTTTTTATAAGTAACGCACAGTACAATACACCGAGTACACAGGTCAGTTGAAGCAATCGAATTTATTTTAGAAAAAAAATTTACTGTACTTGTGCCTTTCTCGACATAAGCGTTTGATAGAGTTTGGTACGATGGTCTACTTTTCAAATTAAAAAAAATATTCTCCCTCTCGTTATACTTGTTGCTAAAACCTTATTTAACAAACCATCACTTCCATATCAGGATTGGATCTTCAGTTTCAAAAATTGAATACATTTTCGCTGATGTTCCTCAGGGTGGAATACTTTTCTGCTTTTTATTTTATATTTACACATCAGAACAGCTTATCTCCCAAAATACCATAGTAGCCCATTATGCGGATGACAAAATCATAGTTTTAATAGACAAAAATCCTCATATTGCTTCTGCAAAACTCCAAACTCATCTAAATTTAATGTTAGAATGGTACACAAAATGGCGAATTAAACCAAATCCGAATAAGTCAGTACGTTCACTTTGTATCATTCTTTCTGTCCAAATGTCTCTTTATATAATGTTCCTATTCCAATGTCTAACACAGTTAGATATTTAGGACTTAACTTGGATAAACGACTTACTTGGAACGCCCATATCCGTATCAAGATACTTGCATTAAATGCTCGACTCTGCAGGTTACAAACAATAAACGTTCTAAATTAAAAATTAAAGTTCTTTAGTATAAAACACTTCTAAAACCAATGTGGACATATGGTCTTCAACTATGGGGCGCTATAAGCTATAAAAGTATCTAATACCAACAAAATCCAACAGTTCCAAAATATAGCTCTTAGAAAAATTATAAATGCTCCACCCTTTGTGTCTAATTACACCCTACATAAAGACCCTAAAATGAAAACTGTGACAGAGAGGAAGATGCGCAATTTTACAAACGCTTCCATAATCAACTTCAAACCCACCAAAATTCATTGATAAAGAACCTCTATATCCAAACTATACCGGGGAACTGCGGGCGTCGTCTAAAAAGAAACTGGTACCGTGACTTGTTATTAAAAAAAATAATAATAATAAAAAAGAAGAAAACGGGGATATAGATTCTAGATATCGTTAATTCCCAGCCGAGTCTGTGTGAGATCACTGTGTGAATACAATTTTACTAAATGTAATATAAATTAAATTTTAAAATGGTTTGTAAAAAAAAAAATTTATTTTAGAACTGGGAACTATTTTCTTTCTGTCTTCCATCAAACTAGGAATGTTTAAGAATTCATTTTCTTTTTGACAAAATGAACCTAAACGTGAACTAGTTTCTTTTTTAAATGAACTGTCCATGTACAGGAAAATTCTAGAATAATTACTTAACAAATAAGCCAATTTCTACTGTCATTGTTAATTTAAATTTGGCATAAGCAGTAGTGAACCAAGATTCATTATGTAGCACTTGTATTAAATTGATATACTTATCAGTATATTAAAGTTGTAATTTTTATTTTAGTGTAGGAAATGATTTAAATAAAATCAATAAATTGTTTTTTCATCAAATTTGAAGAAAGCTATAAATAGAGAACCGATTTATATGTAAATGTATATTTTTATTAAAACGAGATATTTAAGATTCGATAAGAAATGTTTAAGATTTAAATCATTCCTATTAAAATGATGATACTTTTATTTTACATATTTTTACATATTTTGGTATAATTAATATTTTTACATATTTCACTAATTTGTAAATATTTTTAAGCATATTTTTATCATTTCATCATTCATACGTCTTCTTCGTACGAAAATACAAGAAATTATTTCAAAATTAGATCCAGAAACTTCTATCGCTATTGGAAAAGCTTAAAATATTATGTGCAAAACGAAACATTGCAAATAATTTAATTTTAATTAAAAATAAATCAACAAAATTATTAATAAAAATAATGTCCCCAAATGATAGTATGCAAATTGTTGAATTAGCGATTAAAAATCGTAAGCGGACCAATAGATTTTGTAAAAAAGAAAATTCATGCTGTTACAGAAAAATATTCCAGGCTATATTGATTTTAAAACAATCAATGACATAATGAGTGACAAATACCCTTCTGAAAATTTGGAATTATCGCTTTCTGATAGTATGCGCTTGAAATATGCTTTTAATACATCGGTTAATGTGAAACGATAATTTAGCTGTTTTAAAATATTTTGATACCTTATAGGTGACATTTAAAATTTGATAATTAAAAGATATTTTATTAATTCAATGCGAAAAATCATTTTGATAATTTAATAATAATAATGATTTTTTTTTTTAAATTTTTTTTCCCCACATATTTGAATGTTTTTAGCACATATTTTACAAATTATACATATATATATATATATATATATACATATGTACATATTTCTGTATTTTTATTACATATAAATCCATTCTCTAGCTATTAATAATGAAGACTGAAACTATACCTCAACTGAATTATTAATTTAGATGTAATCATTAAGTTCTTCGGAAACACTATATTTTCGTTGCAATGGTGTTCTTTTCATACAAGTCTCTTATTATTATCCTCGTCTTAACTGACAGCTGAAATTATTTTGTCAAAATGTACTATTCGGAGACTACGGTACTTTCGATTAGAGAATATATTTAATGTAAGATTAAAAAACTTAAAAATTAAAATATCTCAAATTTTAGATACTCCATTAAATATAACGTAAATGATGGTAACAAAAATAATAATTGTTCTTTATTTTAATTAGAATAAAATCCAAAGTATTTAATATGAAAGGTTATAACTATTGATAAATGACTGCATCAAGTAGAGAGGTTAGGGTAGGGAAATAACACTGTAAAAATCTAGACTAATATTACAAAAATATCACTTCTACATTTAACTGTAAAACGTTTTGCGTATAGGACTGAACAATAAGCTATCACCGTACAACCAGCGTTAAAAGTTTATATTCGACGTATAGTGTATTAGACATTAAGTCCTTCATTAATAATTAAAATAAATATAGCTACATACAATAGACTTGAAAATACTTGAAGATTTATTCAACGCAGGAGTGGCTGAATATTTATGGTTAAAAACGGCCAATGTAGACTACATCGTAGATACATTAATTTTTATCATTGAAATACCGCATAAATTGATGGTTGTGAGTTTGAATAGTGAACATTTTAGAATAGGTGACATTGTTTATAATCCAATAACAGAAACATTATTGGAATATTTGACAATCGACAAGTGACGATTACATTACATAATACTACATACATAATCCAATTCAATGTGTTACATTGATAAATTATGTTATGTGCAGTGGCGTAACTAGAACTTCGACTGTTCGTGAGAAAATAATCCATTGGTCTTACAAATAACCACCCCTGCTAATAGGTAATTATTATTCAAAAACTTATATAATATACAATTATGAATATTATCACTTTTTATCATACATTATATGCATCTTATTATTTTGGTTTAAATAATACAAACAAGGGAATAATATTTTTTTAAATAAATAACTTTTTTTTCGAAGAAATATTCTATTTTTTTATGAGATTTTTTTCATCCTTGCATTTGCTTCAGAAAACATTTATAGATTAAATCTTTGAAGTTAACCTCTCGAGCAATTACTTTTTTGATTGACAGTAATTCTAGGCCAAAAACGATATTCTATACTGAATATATCGATAACGAATCGGGTAATCGACAGTAGCAAATACGGTTTCCTATATGTTATACTTTTGTATATTATACATAAAAATATTGAACTAGAAGTTATACTATTCAAAATAAGGAGTGTGTTTCCTTGTTTCTCATCCAAAATTATAATTATATTTGTTTATGCATATACACGTTCGAATCGTCGTGAGAGTTCATTAGCGGCCTCAACGGTTTTATTATTATTATAAAAATATTATCTTATGTAAATTATGTATATGTTGCGCTATGCACCATGTACTGTGCATCCGTATCTTTGTTTTCGTTTTCCCTGTTTGTTAATTATTTTAATCGTGTTATTTTTGTATTTTTGTAAAGTGTCGATTGTGATATCGCGCTGCCGGCACAGTCTTTCGCCCACCTTTTCGTTTTCGTCGTTTTTCCGTTCATTGTCTCGCTGTCGTCGTGTTGTGCACAACAACTTTGTTTTTCGTTCCCGTTTTGCAACAATCTTTTCCAGCAAACCACATTTTGTGATGTTTTTTGTGTTCGGTTTTTTTGATCACTTGACCAACGGCCATTGTGATTAACGTGGTTTCTATCTTTGTCGTCTTCGTGTATTGCAAACGGGAATTGAATTTTCGCGTTAGCAGTTGGTGATTTTCGATCGCACGTACGCGGGTTCAATCTGTATTTTTTATTGAATTTAGTCTATTACTTACGGAACCCGGTACGGTAGCGTAAGTGTAAAACCAGTCGAAGGTCCCAACTGTTATGTGAGTATTGGAAAACATTTTCGAAAAACATTTTCGTTTTGTGTTAAGCCGCCAAGGCAATAATTGTCGAATTATTTTAAAATAATTAAATTTTACGAGAACACAATTATTGGTATAAAATAACAATATACTAAAAAAATATTAAAAACATAAATTTGAAAGTCCAATATTAATATTAGATTGTTTGAAACACTTGTTATCAAAAAAAAAAAAATAAATATTAAGGTGGATGATCTGCGAGTTTGAAAATATTATTATTAATATCATTATGGATAAATATTCTTGACAAATAATAAAACTACTCTATGTAATATTTACTGTACGGCTGTACGTGAATAATTTATAATGCACACCATTATCATCCTCAGTTTTGATAAATGATTAAATCCGTTAGGTAGCATGAATTTAATCAACTAAAAAATTGTTCAGTTGTTTCAAGTTTAACAAATAATTATATTTATTGGCTGGTTTGAATTAAAAAAAAAATGTAAAATTCAATCATCTGGTACGAATAATTATTCAATTAGTCGGTATCGTGGAAACAAAATCAACAAATTGTGTTTTCATCAACAATCTTAACGAACGAATATATTTATTCACTAATATTGGCACGTTAAGAGATATCTGACCTCGACTTGCTATATAATATTGTCTTATAGTATTTAATAGTAACTTTTAAGTTTCTTTTTGTATTTCATGTGATTCGACTCTTACTCCGCTGTAATTATATCAGTTTAATATACAACGAGTATTTATCTAATCGCACGAAAAGCAATATCAAGTGTTGTGAAAATGAAAAGTCAGCTAGAAGAGTTTTACAGTTCGGAGATTTCTTGTCCAGATAACAAGACCGTCAACCATCGTAGGTCCAGTTTGAAGAAATCTTTTTTGAAACTGCCTCGATGGATTTACGGTAAAATAAAACCGAAGAAAAACCAAACACCCGACGAAGAATTCAAGGTCAGAACAATCATAATGAAACAAAACGTTCTTAGATTTTTTGAATGATTTATAACCAGAGTATATTTTGAATGTATCTATAAAGATCGACGGTGAAAATGATTTGGCCGCAACGACGGGAGAAGTGTCAAAAAAACATACTCCCAGGAAGAACAGCTGCGGTGATGGCGATCTGGACACTGCCGGTAATATATGATATACGTTTTACGTAACACGAACTAGTTATTTTGACGGTTTCTATTACGTATTCGACTTTACCCTGAACTATTATAACAACGAAAATATGAGATATAATAATCGCATGAAACCAACGGTTAATATTGTTTTCCGTCCATTTAAAATCTAATGTAGGAGAAGAAACAAACATTATTGGCGATACCGGAACGAAGGCCGAACTAGATGCGCACCACATGGCTTTGGATAACACCATCATAGGTAGAATACGATAAAACTTTAACAGTTAAACTTTCAATTTTTTTTATTTTTTATGTTTTAATAACAATTTAACGACGGTGGTTAGTTGTGACCAAGCTTTATAAGGCTAATATTCATATGGCGAAAGAATTAGCGTTAATGAAAGAAGGACAGTGCTTATTCGAACAAAAAATACAAGCCATTCATGGTAAAGAAGATAATAATTATATAACTATATTAAATTAATGAACAAAATGTTTGCGATAATTTCCATACAAATATGCAGATTTTTACTCGGTGGAAATAACAAACAAAGATGCCAATTATAACCAGGTAGTGAAAGAGTTGAAAAGTTTAAAGGAAAAAGTTATGAAAATCACGAGATCCGGTGTACAATGTAATTATATAAAAGAAAAATATGCGTACAAAGAACAACGAGGAATACTATATTCTTATCTATGTTTATAGTTGTCGAACCTGAGGACGATAGCAAAATGTACTTGGTCAATGAATTGGATCGTATACAGGAAAAAAATTGTATTATGGAACAAAAGTTGTCAGAAATTAGCAGTACGGTTTTATTATTAAATTAAAATGTTGATAAAATAAAAACTTATAATATTTTCCTGGCACATATTATACAGGTTTTCTATTGCAATCCATGAACAATTATAAAAGCGACTACAACAGATTTGAGGAACAATTAAAAACTTGTATGCAATTGAGTGTTAAAAATTCGACAGACAAAGTTAATTGTAATTAAATTCACCATAGTCATATTGTTTACTCAATTAAAATAAAATATAATACAAACTTATACGGTTTAGCTATTGTAGACTTGAATGATAAGATCGAGAAGCTACAGAAAACGGTGGACGAATTATTAGTTGAAAAAAATGCGTTAGTCAAAGCAAACAGTAGTTTATCATTAATGGCTGCAGCAGAGATCAACAGCTTGAAGACGAAAATAGCTATGGTTCAGCGCAAATGTATTTTCATCGAATTATATACATTTTTTTTTTCTCTATTAAATTTGAAGTATAAAAACAAAATACACCCGAATCTAGGTAATGGATCAAATAAGGCGAAAAAAAAACAATACCAAGACTAATATTAAAAACAAGAAAAATTATATGAAGAAAAATATCAATGACATAAAAAGGATTTTACAAAATTCAGAAAGTAACGTTTAATTTATTTTCTATATCTAAGACAATAATAATTACTTAACACATATTATATTGTTCATAGTACGTCTAGAACGTAGAGATTTAAAGAACGAGAGAACTGATCATTACAATCGAAAATATGATAAACTGAAAATGCGACTCTGCATGATTGAAAGTTAGAACCGATATATATATATATATATTAAATCGGTTATATTATAAATAACCTTGAATTGCATTTCTACTTTAATTATTATAAATAATTCGCAGAAGAAATGATACATCGATCGGAACAGTCCATGCAGAACATGGTAATGATGTCAACTGCGTGTTTGAGAAGAGGAAATGATCAACAAACGTCAAACATTGTTTACGATACAAAAGTTCAACCAGCATCTTTTTCACCACGAGCACAAGAAACTGCATCTCATTCGAGATCACCATCAATCACTCCAGGGCCTCCGCCTCCACCTCCATTTACACCTCCGTCACCACCTCCACTTACACCTCCCCCACCACCTCCACCAATAGCAAAATTACCTCAAACGAAACAATATCAACAATATGTAATAAATGATGATTTATTAAAAGACATGTATAAGCAGCTGAGAAAACCTGGTAGTGAAATTAGGAAAATACCAAAGCGTACAGATATGAAAATTAATTGTTCAGCCACAACAATCTCTGAACAAACGAGTACTCCATCGGAACCAGCATTACCAGTGACTCAAGATCCTCAAATTGCAACAAATTCTACCCGACTGGAGCCTGTATTATCGCAATCAACAGAAGAAACTCTATTAACTCCTCCATCGCCACACGCACCTGAAGTACCACCAGCTTTTCCGTTATCAGAAGAAATTCCAAAACTTCAAACTACTCCGTCGTCAGAATTATGTGAATTACCATTATCTTCTCTATTTCCGTAAGCACTTGAAGAACTCTGTTAGGAACAACCTGAGCCGTTTAAATTAGGCCTTTACGCGTCTCCCATGCCATTCCAATAGCCCTAGTCTACAAACTCTATTTCTAGTGACTTGTTCATATCTAATTTATCCAGCTTTTGGAGCGTGTAGATCAGGCATGTGAAACATGTTAGTATTTTTTTTCGATATGCTTGGAGAAACGTTTCTATAGCTCCCACACTATTTAACAAATTTCTTTTAAATTTAACTCGTATCATTTCTAATTTTTACTATACAAATTCATACAAATTCCATACTAAATATTAATGCAAACATTTTTAACAAAGTCATTATAATGAGGGGCTGGAGAATTGTACGTATTTAATAAATATTATTATATTCATTGAATTCATTGGCGGTCTTCGTAATAAATATTTGATTCAGTAATTAATTTAACTAATGGAACCAATAAAATATAGATTACTATATGGTTTTTGTTTTGTTTATCAAATATGGGACAGTACATTTAATGGATTTGTAATTAAGTAATTCAATACGGGAAATACGAGATTAATATAACAATCGTATTATGTAAAGATTTTCTAAACACATGACTCTGTAGTGGTTTACTAAAATATAATTGTCGTATATTATTTCTGTACCGGATAGGTTTATAACTTTGTTTTAATGTGGAAATATATTATTTTCTCATAAATTTTAATATTAATTCTCTTCATTATTTTAGTAACTTGTATTTATTTTTTACGGTGTGCATATAATAAGTATAATATGAAAGTACATTTAAAAAAACATTAATTGAAAATAAGGCTTAATATTAAAATGATATGGATTGATATCAAACAAATAGTTAAATTGATTTTAAAAATGTAAAATTATAGTAAAATGATTTTATATAAAATTATAGTAAAATTACAAACTTTGGTATGGACTTATAATATGAGTAGTTCCCAATAATATATCATAACCAATATTCGATAGTAGTGGCTATTAGCTATTAGCTCATAATAAAATAAAAAAATATTGAGATAATTGTCTATATTTGTACTATAACAGGACATTACTCAAAACGAGATATATACTATGAATAATGATAATATCTAAGTATCCGATGTCATTTGGTAAGTAAAATGTCTATAGGAAAATTGTAATATTATAAAGTGTATTTTTACGTATACATTAAAAACTATATGTATGTTATGTGATAAGTTAATTCACTCAGGCGAACACACGTTTGTAAATGAAATATAAAGGGAAACAGAAAAATACACGCTAAAAACATACTCGTATCGATTTACTTTTTAACAAAGTTGTAGAATTATGTTGTTATATCAAACATTTTTAAAAATTTGTAATCACTCAAATTGATTATATAACATGGCGATCGAATATTTATTCGTCTAATTCTTTAAACAATAATATTATCTTTGTTAAAAATAATACTATTGGTACAGTTTTGCCGCTTGGTTAGCTCATTGTACAATGTAATGTTCGTTTCGTTCAGTGTTACATATATGAATTTTAGGAGTGTTATTTTTTGCCTGTTACTTGATGGTTATTGACGATCAGAAAAAAAAAACAATTAAAATAACCGATATGTTACGTTTTATAAGAACAAATATTACATATTGTACACATGAATCGCTACCGCCGCCGGTTTATCGTAAAGGGCACACAAGATAGACGTGTCCACAAACGTGCTTGCTATCTAGTGCTGTCGATATGATTGATGCACACACATACGGACGCTTCTCCCGTTCCGTATACGCGTGTGCGTGTGAAGGGTCAAAGTTTTTGGATAAGCAATTTACGCTATCCGAGGGGTGCGTATACATTCGATCAATCATTTATTTATTTTGCTTTTTTTCTTCCTTTCTTTCTATTATTATTATTATTATTATACATGACGTTGTGTGTACGTGTGCTTGTGTAGGTTTTTTAACTTTTCGCAGGTTTCGGCCCCCATCAGTGGGAGGACATCAAGGTTTTTGATGCGATGACAAAAATCGGAGTGTCGCCATAGCCATCTGTTTGCAATATAAGTATTGAGATAGCAAGCGACAACGCCTCTAAAAATATATAGGACAGATATTTAGAAAAAAAAATGTGTATCACCAATGTGTATAGTTTACGTCGTTTTAATGCAATATGTAAAGAGTAAAGACGTTTAGAGTCTTGTAAAAATAAAATATGGCAAAATATAATTGCTTCTGTTGATAACTTGAATTTACTAGTTTTTAATAAAAAATATATATATATAATAATAATAAATAAAAAAAAGGTTTATTATTATGTCATTTGAAAAGTTCATCTCTATTAATTGTATTCGATCGGCTCTATCTTCTCAGTAGTTTGGTATAGAGTATTCAAACATTACTATTATAAAAATATTGTTATTATTTTTATAATTCATGAGTATATATCATTATAATTGTTTTTCGTTGTAGTTTGAACAATATATTATATTTCAACAATTTAAGTAGTATTTATTGTAGTGCATAATTTACAATATAAAATAATACTTTTTTGTCGAGTTATCGTAATTGAGGAGTAAAGTAATATATTTTTATTAAGTATTTGAATTTAAACTAAAAATGTACAGTGCCTTCTTGGTCGTTAAAAATATTAATAAATCATTATTATCAATAGCGTTTAAAGAAATAGATATATTTACATAACATTTTTTAAGAATAGCCGTCAAAATAATAAGTGTAAGATTGATATCAATTTTGAATCAGAGTGAATCACTGATTTTGATGTAATCGATAAAATCAAAAATTTGTTGTTGAAATGTTTGAATACTACACATATCACGTGCCAATTAAACATGTGATTTTAAAATGAAAAGGTAAGATATGCTTTCGTGAAAATCATTAATGCACTTTATCGTCTGTTTCATTAGTTTGGTCTAGTGCTTAAAATAACTAAAAAGTATTGCTTTCCATTAAACGCACTGTGGTCCAAGACTTAATTTTTTTTTTTTAATAAAAATTTTTTTTGTATGGTATGGCTTCATTTTTTCAATTTTAATTTTCATCATTAAACCGAATTCGGCTGACAAGAGTTGTGAAAAATCTTAGAGAAGTTATGGACATAATATGGTATTGTACTGATATTATACTACTCCTGTATGATCAAAACAAAACAGTTATCTTAACATACGATTAAACGATTTGGAATAATAAGATTATTCCGCAACACGTTGTTATTAATGATTAAGTTTTCTCAATAACTTTGTAATCGTAATAATCTTAATAGAATATAAACTGGAACTCACGATTACGGTGTTATGACGTTGTGTTGCTGTTTGCAGGCTGCGTTGAAATTGTGTATGATATTCGTTTACTTATTAAAAAATATTCCATTAATTGAATCGGTCATTTGGAAAAGGCCATATATCCATAAAGTGAAAATTGTCAGTAAACGTAAAAAACTGTTTTTAGAAATAAAACTTAAATTTAGATAAAAATTAAAAAATGTTGAATTATTGAATTCTCTTATAAAAAACTAACTATAATATGGCGGTCTCGCAGGAAATATGCATTATTATTAGTTAAACACATCTATCACATAAAACTAGTTTTGAAAATGTGTGGAGAAATGACCAATTCAATTTTGATTCAGCCCCGTGTATATTACTAATTATGAGTGATGTAATTTTTAAAAATTATTCATAATTTTATTCATAACACTTAAATATCAATGTACATTAAAATATCATTTGCTTCATTGCTTTTTCTTTAATGCTTGGCCAATATAGTCCATTTAAATCTCGTCAGAATCTACTGCTGTGTCCTGTATTTTGTACCATCACATATTATCTGGTCCGGGTTGACGTACCAACTTCCACATTCTGAAACTTGTGGTTCTTACAGGCCTGGATCAAATGATAGGCGATATAAGTTCACGTCTAAGGTGGCATTTAACATTTTTATATTATAGGTAGTTTTTATAAGAAAGAATATAGTTCCTATTTATATCAAATTATCATATGTACCTATATGTATAGTAAAAAATAAGACTCTATACATTGTTTGCTTAATTTAAATTATAAATTTGGTTGTAAATAAATGTATTGATCTAATAAATTTTCAAATTTACATAAATAAATAAAATAAACTCAAACTTAAGTCTATGTATTGCTTATGTAAAAAAAATATTTTATGTAATATTTACATGTAAAGGGCTGCAAAACTTAAATTTGCTTAGGTATGATTAAACATTTGAGTTGAACCTGGGTACTTACATGTAAGGTGTATGTCAATCATATTCTATGTATAGTAAAAAAAACTGTAATGTAAGCAAACACAATTCTTGGTGGTTAATTAATAGTATAGTAATAGTAATAGTATTAAACTAATAGTATACGGCATAATATATGATATATTCTATGAATACATTACGTATCACAGTAAAAAAAAATGAATTAAACTATCAGTTTTAAATTAAATATTTTATTATTTCTCTCAGCAAACGTATCTACAATTTTATTAATATAAATATTTGAAACTAGTTCACTTTCAATGTTTAAAATAGATAAGTCAGTGAAACCACAGAACATTATAGAAGCGACACTCGATCAGTTGATCGGGCCACCACTACTATATGCCCTACTATATGCCCTACTATATGAAGTATATGAATTATTGAACTCTAAAATTTGAACCATATCCGTAATTTGATAAGATGTTGGTAACGTCCCTGTTCAAACGCGGTACGAGTTTTTCTTCTAATAACACGGACGCTCCAAGTTGTTCATCGGTATCGAAGCTCTCATCGATGTTTCCTCTTCCATGGTCTTTTGCGAGTTAATTGGCCGTGAGCTTAGCCATCGGCTGCTGTGTTTTTTTTTTGGTCTTTTTCGAGATGTTGAATCGTGTGAAACGTTTGTGTCCGGGTTTCCACGTCGGTACGATTGTGCGTTTTCCGATCCACAAAACCTCACGTGTGCTCACGAGCTTCTATATGTTGTCGCTGTGATCAGTCGGTTACAGACATCGTTGTCT